TTCAAGCATATGCCGATGCTGATTATTGAGTCTCTACTTAGAAGATGGACGTTCTACCAGTGGTTATTGTACTTATTTAGGTCCAAATTCAATTATGTAGACTTCTCGAAAGCAATAAGTTGTCTCTAGATCTACACTAAAGCAGAGTACCACAGTGTTAACTGATTCAGTCTCTAATCTGCTTTGGCTATCTACTATTTTACAAGAATTGAAGGTTTCAACAGTAGGCATTCCCTCTTTTTGGTGTGGCAACACCGGAGCAATAACATTGTTTGTCAACTCGGTTCTTCATAACAAGTCAAAACACTTTGAGCTTGATCTGCACTTTGTTCGTGAAAAAGTAGCTGAAGGAAAGTTGTGCGTGGGCTACATTCCAGCTTCTGATCAAGTGACAGATGTCCTTACAAAAGCTTTGCCTCAATCTTTATTTATTGATTTTCATACTTGTCTTTGTGTAGTTCCTGTTGAATGTTTGTATGGTCGAAATGGCTATTGTAATTTGGTTCTAACCAACTAAATATTTTTTTCTGAACAGCGGAGGGAATGTTAGGTTAATAAGACTACGGGCCTGTGTGGGTCTCGGCTCAACACCCTAACTGATTACTAATAACTTAATGGTATGTTGTCAAATCTGTCTACTTAAGCTTCCGTTCCTTATCATTGTAATCATGGTTTTTAGAATGAATCACAATTGAGCTCTCATTCTTCTATCTATTTTAGATTGTCTAATAGAGCATATCTTTATCAAATTTATTAAATAGGATAAAAATAGAAATAAAAGAAATTCCTTGACATGTTTAATAATGTAAGCTGTAGGTAAAAGCAAATTATATTAGGAACAGAAGGAATAACAGTTAATTTTAATGCCATCTTATCCTTGTCTAATCGTTGGGTTATTTTCAACTCTCTAAAGCAAGCACTTAATTAATGTGAAAATGGACTAGCTTTTTATTCAATTAAGAAAAGATATACCTTTTTAGTCTATGTATATCGGTTAGGCAGTCATACGGGATTGAGTAAGGTTACCCGATTCATTATTAATTATAATCATATGTCGATGTATATATTCACACACAATATGGAAAAGTATACAGTGATTTAACATATATTCGTGCAAGACAAACATTATTGATTGGTCTCCACACTAACTCGAACCACATTATATAAATATCATCGTGCAGATCAGCTTTGAATAATTCGCTCGTATATAAAAGTATACATATTGACAATGTTAAACAACAGAGAGCTAAAATATATAATACGGGGAAGGTAAGTTGAAAGTTGAAACTCAGAAAAAACACCAATAGGATGAGAATATGCATGACTCAGATTGCTAAAAAGAGGCCTCATATCAATGTTTTTCAATTGGTGGATGCCCACTTTACAAAAATCAGTAAACAGCAAGCTGGGCTAGGCAGTGCTAGACGAATATACGTACACCAGCTTGATATATATATATATATATATATGTTCTCATCCAACACTGGCGCCCCCTAGGAAATCAAAGCTTACGTGCTCATATTCCTTTGACCTTGCTATACTGCTTATTCTTTTTACTTCCCTCTCAACTTCCGTTGGATTAATTTTTAATTTGCTTCATCGTATACTGCACAAATCAAGGTAGACTTAGAGAGCGTTGAAGAAATTAAAGAACATGATTCGCCGCAAAGTGGCCTTTGTAGCTACGGTGTTCGTTTATATAGACAGCCAAATTACTAATTAAATAGAATCTTCTCTCCTGAAACCACTCATTATGCCAGACTTCAAAGGAATAAGAGTAATATCTTGTATGCACAAACAGCACGCGAGATGCCCCATAAACAAAAGTTAAATCTACCTGCAAAGGATGATTTCCTCACTAACTTAGATGATCTCGAAAGGATTGCTGCCTCATTATTTCGTAATATCGTTTTGGGTTATATATATACTTGTGAGGATGTCACTAATGTTTCGAACACGACGAAATGAGATAACTGTATAATTGGCCTGTGATTTGACGGGAACATCTAACCAACATAGGGGGCTACATCGTGAGGAAAGGCATTCATTTGAGACTGAAATCACCTTCTTGACTCTTGAATCACGTCTCTTTCATTATCTTCCTTCTTCTAATCCTTTACAGGTTAAACAACATCTAATTAATAATTATTAATTGCAAATGGACCCAAAAAGGCACGCAATAACTCAGGAAAAAAACAGTACCCAATAACGCAAACTCTTTCACGTGGGTCCAGCGGGCTATCCGACGGTACCAAAAAAAAAAAAGACTTATTCTGTGCCCCAACAATTGTTATATATATATATCCCTTTTTAATAACATGAAAAATGATGATCGAAGTGTCATTGAATATTGATAGTGGGCATGGATATGATATCTTCATTAATTTCAAAAGATTCTGTTGGTTCCTGCTCAGTGGGGTTGATGAAAATACATGAGAAGTAATCGGCTTGCATTCGACATTGTCTCTTATTTATGGTAGATGTAGGAAAATATATCCATAAAATAATAGACTAATTTACAATATAATAGTCATTTAGTCATTTGTTTGGCAAACCAACCCCTGTTTTGACATGCAATTGTGGGGTGTTGAGTTTCATCCAGCTCATTAGAATCCATGTTCATGCACGCGTCTTTTTATCTTCAAGTTTTAATCTTGTCGCAGTTCCATTTCAAAATGGCGAAAGTGCCCACTTTACTAATGTTAAATTCAAATTCATACCTATCATCCCTATTTTATTACCAAGGTGCATACTTTTCATTCTGATCTCGACCTTTTCTTCTGGCCCCTCGATATCATTCGTCCATCCCTATGACGATCTTAACTGTAAAGCATATCTCGAACAAAATACATATAGCTTGTCAGTCGACGATCGAGCTATCATGGTGTACCATTATCAATTATTTATAATTATAATCAGAACCTATACTTTTGTAAAACGCGTGTTATTGTTATACGCACGTATAGGATTAGGTTTACTCTTAACCATTATTATTAGGCACATAAAGACGGAGTCACGTCGATGAAGTACACAGATAAGCCTCACCAGTATCAATTTTTTATTCCCAGAAAGAAGTAAAGATGATAGATATTTCTCTAGATATTAGTGCAATAAAGTGATACGTCAGTGGATGGCCCTCGATCGGTGCACCTGAAGACGATCGATCAAAAATGCAAAAATATATAGATAAATAGGTGCACTTTTTATGTCACCGTCGTAGACTCTTTGGAGATTGGAGACCCATCATCCATGGCATGTTTTTTCGATAGCTCGCACCTTAAAGTGTGACTGGCAGGCTCAGTGGTTTACGTCTGCAGGCTATACCCTCAAACAGAGCGTGCGTGCATCAAAGAGCATAGAATTAGATTCCTCAGATTGTAACACTATAAAGGCCAAGTTGCCTAGCTCCAACAAAATTCAGCACCCTGGCTATATATATAGTTACACTTCCATTTATAGGTATATAAATTAAATAACCAAACAAAATTAACTTCGATCGATTATTAGATAAGTCTGGATGCTCATCTTTACATTTCCTGTGATTTATCGAGCTGCCAGAATTCTGTCTCTCAGCACTACTTATTCTTCTTCCACCACATACTTGGATGGCCCATCTTGCAACTTATACCATGTGCATTTTTTAGAAGTGAAATAAAATGCATCTAGAATTCTATATCACAGAGTGCGACAATGTTATTAATTTAAACAAGTTTATTAGTTTCACCAAAAACAGCATATGGACGGCAACTCGATCGAAAGATTAAAGAGAGAATACTATGCACTGTTTGGAACTTCCCCTGTACCGATCAAATCAATTAAATATCTGTACCGCTAAAACGCGGTGATCCATTCTTCACTCCATTTAGAATGTCTTTCCGTCGGTAGCAAAAGAACATTTTTTTAGATAAAAATTCTACAATGATGTAAAGGCACTTCAATTAGTTGCCAGTCTTATCATCCACCTGCAAATTCTTGAGAATTATGCTATTCCTTGAACTGCATAAGCACCAACGTCAGAAGATTACCGCAGAATAAAGTTCTCCATAATTAATATTGTTTAATGACCTGTAGGAGTAGCAGTAGTCAACAAGATCAACGGTATGGAACAGTTGGATTAATCATCCTTGTTAATACCAGCGACAGGATTAAAAGCAAGAGAGATGCCACGTTCAGAGAATATGTCGCAGTAACCTGTAAGACTCCAGCCCAATGAGATACCATTTCTTAATGGTCATTTGCGTTGCATGGGAGATAACAATATACGAGATGGATATGTGCAAAAACCATCACACCATCATATTAATACTGATTTTTCCACTAAATATCAGGGGGGAAAGGGGAAAAAAAGATATTAAGATTGGATGGTTCGTAGGTTCTCACAGCTCCGCCGGGGGGTGGGTGAATTTTAAGAAAGTAATAAGAATTGATTAAATTACATGTACATGAAAATAAGTGCATTTAACTATTTTAAAAATGCACTAAGATTTTGAAATTAATTTCAATTTTGAATGTTTGGGTAATTTCAGGAAAATTCAATGAAGTGAAATTTACGCTTATCATAAATATCTCTAAGCAATCCATTCATATCATAATGTCTAATTGACCATGAACTAAGAAAGGGGAATGAAAGCGCACAGTATTGGGTTACAAAAGTCTTAATGGAGGCACCTGCCTAATTGGAAAGGTGGAGTTTCGTGGCATGAGTTATGAACAAAAAAGGGCATGGACTGTTTGATGCCCAAGATGAAAAGGCCCAAAAATAAAAAGGCCGAGTGGGATGGTTGACGAGAAGAAAGAGGGGAGGGGTCAATGCTCAAAAACAGGACTGTGGCAGTGGAGAACGGGTCAGCAATGGGACTTGCCTTGCTCACGCTTTGAATTCTGTTATTTGGTGCGTACGAGCCTATGACCGCAGACTAGTCGTTTCAATTTTCAACGCCTTCCGCCCTTTATATCTCAACCTCCACCTTCCTCTGCCCTTCATCTTCGTCCTATGATCCCCTCAGCATGGCAGACTTGGGTGCAACAAGTCTCCTCACCGAGCTGCTCCAAGGCAGGGACCTGGCCAGGCATCTTCAAATGTGTCTCCACGAGCCTTCCACCTCCCCAGAAACCCGCGACACGTTGATCCGCCACATCATTGCCGCATTCGACAAGGCTCTCGCTTTCCTCAACTCCGGCGCCTCTCCGCCTTTCAGCCCTCCCTGTGACGATCTCCACCTCCAACACCAGCACGCCTCCCCTACCAAGTATGTCTTCCCCCCGCCTCCCTCTCTCCCCTCATATCCCATCTTCCCCTGTTTTCCTAACTTCCCATCTCATTCTCCCATGTCTCCAGGTGGACCAAACATATTAAAATTAGCCCCGGCATGGCCGTTGAGTCTCTTCTCGACGATGGATTTAGCTGGAGGAAATATGGCCAGAAAGACATTCTCGGAGCCAAATTCCCGAGGTACGCTCGTACATTGCAGAGTAACGACATTAATTCTCATGACGTCATAAACTCAGTTGCTAGTTTGGTTGGTCAATGCGTGCAGAGGATACTACAGATGCACCCACAGACATGCCCAAGGTTGTTTGGCCACCAAGCAAGTGCAGCGTTCCGACCAAGACCCCGCCACCATGGAAGTGAATTACAGGGGAACCCACACCTGCAAGCTCGCCTCCGCAGCCACTCCTCCGTCCCCAGAACAACTCGTGAACCTGCGTGCTGGCCTCAAGGTGCTCACTGATAATTTAAATGCCTCTGACCAAACCTCTTTTGCTTCGTTCCCGTTGCCTTCCACTTCCGGCACGAAACCCGACAACCCCCCGTCCGTGTGTCCCGCTATCGAAAACAACGCTGTTGAAACCTTCAGTTCTCCTCCCTACATGTCCCCTGCCACGTCTGCAACGGCCCATTTTTCGGTGTCCCCGACAGGGCTTCATGGCTTTGGAGGGCGCCTGAGTTTGCCTGCTTCTGCCCCTGACCTTAAGGACGCCGTCTTTCCTTCAAGCGCTCCCACCGTTGCTTCCGAGCTTCCATTTGACCCCTTCGAATTTGAAGGCCATGACTTCACTTTTCATGACCCACGATACTTCTAATTATGCACAGTTTTGTTTCATATGTACGTACGTATGCATGCGTTTACGAATGCATCTGTATTTGTGTGTATACTTTTAGCAAAAGAAACTTGGTGGCTGAGAGACAGTGTTCTGCTTCCTTATTAAAGACAGGTCAAATTATATGAGTGGCTTTTTTTCCCACCTTGAAGGACCACTCCCCCCATGTGATTTTTGAGGTCTGGAAGAACAGTGCCGAGGTGTGACTACGGAAGATGCTGTGGGAGTAATTATCGTTCTATACTAAGTCACAATTCTACGCCAACTTATTTGAAAAGAAGAGTCAAATTATAAATAAATCACGTCAACTATCATTCATTTGCTGACTTAGCCCGCATGTGGAAAACACCACCATGGCACCATCTAAAAAATGGATCTTGAAGTTTGGTTCGCGAATTTCTTTTGACCACTAAAGAGGGTTGACCACCATGGCAACATTTGACAACGTCACAGGAAACCAGGGAGAAACACACGCGCGAACACGTGTTTCATACCCAAAAGAACCTTCTCATGGGCTTCCTGCCACGTTCACAACCACGCAAGGCCCATGTCTAAGAAAACCCAAGAGTAGCCAGCTTATAGATTCAGCCAAACCCAAGATTCCAATAAAAGGATATCCATACGAAAGAAAAAAAAAAAAAGGAGAAGAAAAAGAAAAATAAAGAAAGAAAGAAAAAAATAATTACAGTTACAAGTTTATTTTTAAAGCTATCATGGACATCAACTTACAAATCCTTTTGCTCGTTGTAGTCAGGTATTAATGGTATATTGAGCAGCTAAGTGTCTTCTATGAAATTATATTTAGTCACTTTTGAATATTAATGTGGTTTTTTATATATTATATATATTGATCTTATCTTGATGCATTGGAGTACTGAAATTTGTTATCGTCATAAATTTTGCAGCACCTTTTCACATTTTAAAATTTCTAACTCTTCGTGAATAAAGAAAAAAAAATCTTAACTAATAACTCCTATAGGCTTAAACAATATTACGAATTGATTTTTCCACTGTTGTGCTATTGTTTTGTAGTAATAGATTAAATTAATCTAGTTTAATTATTATTTCTTCCAAATTTTATAGCATGATGCCGTTATTAATGAACATTTTATTTTCAAAAACTTTAATGTTAATAGATTATTTTGATTTTATCTTGCTCCTTTTAAAAATTAGTTATGTAAAGAATAAATACGGTTCAATCAAAATAGTTACGTAAAAAATATATACGGTTCAAATTTGATCAGGACAGATTTGCTGTTTAAAATCTGCATTCGTCTGTATGACATCACATAAAATATGCCACTATAAAAATATGATAGTAGTTAAATAACTTAAAAATAAGACAATGGTTGTAAGTTTCGTCACCCCAAAATAAGTACTCAAACATGACACTACCATAATTGCCATATGTAATCCGCCGGTAACAATTTAAAAATGAATTCACAAATGCAAATTCAGCGGTAAAAAATATTGTTCCTGGGTATCCCACGAAATCAGAGGTTTTTACTTTTTGACTCAAAGTGTCAAACTGCATTCAGGCCCGAGTCAATTATTTGTTCTCAATATTGTTAAAAATAGATCAGAGGATTCCAACCCTAAAACGCTAGGCTTCGTGGCCGAAGCCCATATGGAACAATATGGCCCACCCAAAGCTTTGTGTCTAACATTCAACTGCGAGCTAATTTTATGGAGGCGAAAACATTGTGCTTCAAACTTATGGATTTGGGGTTAACGAGGGACAAGTTTGGTTCCAAAATTTAGAACCAGTCCCCTCTCGCAACTAGAAGCGGAAAAATGAGTTAAACTTGTGAGCTAGTTTGTTTAACCCACACAATTTAATAAGTTGGGTTGAAAAAATTAGCTTGCTTTTTAAAACGAACTGGGTTAGTCTAACCCGCAAAAATAGCAGGCTAAAATGGGTTGACCCGAGGGTTAATATATTTTAAAAAAATAATTTTTTATTTTTTAATTGTATTATATCTTTTTATAAATCTATAATAATGATAATATTTCTTAAATATATAATTTATGACTTTCAAATATGTTCTTTGCATTTGAAATATAGTATAAATTCTTTTTACAATTTGCAAATAAATTTTTTGTTATAGTTTGTGAAGATGATTTATTAGTTTTTATAGAAATATTTTGAATATATATTATTTATTAATCTCATAAGATCTATTGATTAAAATTATAAATATGAATTCACTGAGAAAAATAATATGAATTTATATTCAATTTTTTTTCTTAATGACAAAGATAGCACATGTAGGCGAGAAGATAATTGATAGTAAAAATTTAGCAAAATGAATTTTCTTAGTTGAATTCTATGTTTATTTTATTTATTTACAAGTTTTTTAATTGCTAATTTGCTTTAAAATATGAAATAAATAAATATATTTATATTATATAAATTTTAAATTATTAAAAAAATTTGATATTTTTTTGCGGGCCAACCTGCGAGTTGACTACTTTACTAGAAAATGAGTTGGGTTGAATTTTTCAGCCCGTTTTATCTGGCAGGCTGGCCCAACCCAACCCGCAAAAATGTCAACTCGTGCGGATTGATCCGTAACTCATTTGCCCAGTACTACTTTCAACTCTTAAGCAGTGATTGTTATGCATGTTCGTAAATTTAGGGACCAAACACTCATGATTGAATTGATTGGCCTATATCTACCCTGCAATTGGCCCATTTGTTATTTCAAGTGCAAATAATTGTCTGATTCTGGTGCTTGCTTGGTTTCACTTTTAGTAATCATCAAGTTATTGCCCAGATGAAAAGTGGGCAGGCAAACAAATGATGTTTTCCCCTTGTTTTTAAAAAATTATTTTTAACACAGCAGTCCCTCTAGGTCATCCAATTCCAGCTCTAGCACTGCAAGCCTAGACTAGCAGGGGCAGCAATAACTATATTGATGCTGCTACTAAATAAATGCCTAGAAAGAGCACATTAATTCGACAAATAACCAGATCTTATGCAATGCAAGTTCTTTCAACATGGCGCAGTCACCATAGGCTTCAATTTAAGAGATGGCATTGGAATTCAAGTGTACAAGATTGAAACTTGAAATTGGTCAGTCACATCAGAATCACACAAGTATGCTTTCTCAAAGTTTTTTTATTATAAAATCTTTATAGAGCTTGGAGAGATCGAAAAACCAGAGAACCGGATTCATCTTTGCAGTCGGTGTTAGTCACCCCCCCCAAACTCTAGAAGAACTTTATACTAAAAAACTCTAAAAGATCCTAATTATATGATTCATGACCAATTACACTTGAAACAGCAGTTAATATAAAAAGAGAAGCCACTAATTAGTGGGTAATTCACGTTCCCTACGTAGTCACGTGCAAGTTGCGACACGGTAAGAGATAGATCAAGGGAGAAAAGAGAGTAACGCATCAATCTGTAGTTAAGTCTGCACACCACTAGCTCGTATGGGTAGACTCATCAGCAGAATGTTTGCTGGATTTGTAGAGCGAGTTCTTCCGCACTGAGTTGGCATTCAATTCCAATCTATTCAGAAAATCAAACTATTAACAGCACATCCAATCAAGATTAATCATTTTTTAAACAAAGCGACAGAACAGAATATATAACAATTTCTTATTATTATTTTTCAATTTTTCAATAAGTTCAGGACAAATGCCTGCGGGATGCCATGTATCTCCTTGCTATCCCAGACACTTAAATGAAAGAAATGCTGCCTGAATGTTTCGCTACAGCTAGCATCTCATTTATCGAGGTAAATGCTGCACACTGTGTCTGCTAGCCAACCGGCCACTTGGCCACCCAGACCAGAACAGAAAAAGGAGTTCCCACAATTCTTCTACTCCAGTAACTATAGTCAGCAGTAAAGTTTTGAGTTACCATATACTCTCGGGTTAACACGGATCACTATTGTGACGTAGTTGCTTAGTTTTCAAAAGGTTTCCTTCCAAAGAGCAAACTTTACAACATCTGGTAAATTTTCTTGAGGTAGTTGTCATTAAGAACTTGAAATCCATCCCGGTAAAAGAGAAGGGTTTAAGGAAGTTAGATGAAAGCACGACATAAGGTTACTCGTGCGACAAGAACTATACAGGTTGCATATCCATGGACAAAAAACAGGATTTTTTTTTTATCTGGAAGATTAATACACTCATTGCATATAGAAAAAAAAAATCCACGCATATGTAACCAGAGAAGAACTTTCACTTCATACATGTGATGAAAAGAGTGAAGTTAGGGATATCGTTTTTCATATCCGGCATTCCGGTATTTCTTTCCATATTTAATTAACCTAGTCATTTCCTTCTACCTCTCTTCACGCTTGCAAGCGAAACTACCTGGCATTGCCTCACATAACAATAGAAGTAACTTTTTATTGTATCAATTGCTTTAGCCTTTACAGCAGAAAAGTCCTTTTTTTTTTAAATATTAATGATTAAGAACTAGAAACTAAGTAGAAAATGCGAACGGGTTATAGTATATTGGTACCTTAATAGTGAATGAGTTTAGCATGGTTTCATCAGTAGTGCTGATGCTGACATGAAGGATTTCAAGAGACAGGTCTTCAAGCGCTGATATGATCTTCAAAGCTTGACCTGGAATAGGCGGAGACACTGTTTTCAAAAGAACGTGCGGCCCAGAAAACTTGACCTCCACATCGGCCATAGCAGACTTGGAGTTGGCCACAAGCTCGTTGATGTTATCGTTAATGGAGGAAGAAGCAGCAGAAGAGGTAGGAGATGGCTCGAGAGAGTGGGAGATGGTTGGAGAAAGGTAACCTTGCTGCAACCTGGGCTTGTAAGGACTACCTGGTTGTGGAGTCCTCGGACTAATGGGCAAGCTTAGCCTAGGGCTTAAAGGGGGCTTTCTAGGACTAAGGGCTAAAGGCCTTGGACTTGAGACTAGCCTAGGGCTCAGCACTTCACTGTATACTTTTCTTTGCTTCTTGGCTTCTAGGGACTGTAGAATCAGCTGCAACTCGTTTATGTAATCAACCACTCCTCCAATAATCGATGCTTGGTCACCCTAAGCAAACCATTTCCAACGAATAAGCCAGGATGGATAAAATACTTTTCATATTTAATCGACTCTTACTTTAAGTAGTTTTTGAATAGTATTAACAAGTCAAGACTGCACGCACAATGGATATATTTTGATTTTTAAACATGATAATTATTTTTTAGTGATGGCAAAGAGACAAGTTAATCTTCTTCACGGCTTAGCGCTAGTACATCTGTACATGTACGTATCAAGTAAACTGTATATCGTGAATATACTAGTGTTCTATTGTGCTTTACTACTAATTTCTTAAGAGATAAAATTAAACATGACTTACACGTTTGACATAGAAGTTTGGCATAAGTGACCTTAAGACGGACAAGTGCTCGTTCATTTGCTTTCTTCGGTTGCGCTCAACAGTGATGTGAGATATCCTTTGTTGGCCGTCTGGGTTTGGATCCTCCAAAGAAGTGGTCGGTACGAGCTTCTGTCTCTTGCTTTTGGGTGAAGCTTCAAGCTCAGTTTCTTCAGATTCTTGTAGAGCACTTGAAGTTGATTTTTGTGAAACGAACCTTGAAGTTTCCTCTTTCTCCTTAGTGCTAACAACAGCTTCATCAACGGGAGGAAAGTCAGCGAAGTCCTCAAGTCTCTCCAAAATGGCAAAGAGGTCATCTCCACCAAATTCCTTGTCTTCAAGAATATCAGAAAAACTGTCATCCATTTTACGCTAGCCTTTACTTAAAGAGAGGAGACGGGAAACTTTGGACTTTTTGGAGCAAGAAAAGGACTGGGACAGGAGCGAGGAGAAGGATGAGGATGGAGGAGGGGGATTGTAAAAATCCAGGAAAGAAGAGAGGGAAGATGATGATGATGTGATAGAGACTAAACGATCGCTATCAAGAATAAGAGCCTTTTGCATGTATGCCGTTGGGTCTAATTATTGAAAACATGGGTTTTGTAAACGGCTAGAAGCAAAAGGATCTCACGGGAATCAGGTAGGAGTAGTGCACAGAAACCCAAACTGAAGGCAGGGCAGAACAGAGGCAGTATCAGACTTCTGCGGCAGTACTAATAACTGGAACCAAAGAAATCAGAGCCGTTACTCACAGAGAGAGAGAGAGAGAGAGAGAGAGAGAGGAGGCAGAGAGAAGTAGAGGGGAAAAGAAAAGGGTTTTATTTATATAGAACTAGCTAGCTAGTAATGTTAATAAAGATATAGAGGAACATAATGATTGATGCTAATGAAGCTTTACGTATATTTAGTTCGTTATACAACCGCTGCCACTCGAAGAGATACTAGTGTATATGAATCTAACCAATGAATGAGTGTGTTCTTTTAGGAACATATATATATAGATGAGATGCCATTTCATAAATGCCTCTGCACTCGTTCATTAATGCTATCAGCAAAATTTTTTAAAATTTAGATGAGATGATCACTGAGACATTTAAAATTGAATGTACCTTATATTATTAATTTATCAATAGGGATAGATGGATATACTTCTTAATTTCATTGAATTTGAAGAACTTTTAAGCAAACTTTCTTTATCCTTATGTATAAAAAGTTTTTAAAACTTTTTTTATTTTTAAATATAAAAAATTATTAATATATTTTTTAATGAATATATTATTATACTTTTATTAAATTAAAAAGAGAAAAATATAAATACTCTCATTAATTTACTTTAAAAAAATTATTTTTTTATTTATCATAATTAAAGAAAAAATTAAAATATTAATATGCTTTTAATTAGATATCAACTTTTATTAATTTAATTTATATAATTCAATTAAAATTATTTTATATATAAAGACAGAGGGAGTAATTTATGAAACTTTTAATTTGAACAAGATAAGCTGACAGTTAGTGCTTTGTATCTGTTCATTTTCGTCGTCGTTCAATATTGTGAGCAATGAGCAGCCTGATAATGGTTCTTGAATAATAATTGTTTACGTGAAATCTTATGCAACGTCAAAGTTCAAACCCCTAAACCCTTATACATGTCCATGACATCAAAAGGCCAAATTTTTTTTTTTAAAAAAGAGGGGATAATTATAGACAAATTTAAAAAAAAGGAACAATTATATTGAAGTCCTACTTAAAAAAATTAATTATTGTAAGGTCCATTGACAACTAAATTAAACTGTATTGATAATACAATCAGTTATCAATGCAATTTAGTTCAATTATCAATAAACTTTATAATAATTAATTCCCTTATGTGAGACTTAAGTGTAACTCTCCCAAAAAAAAAAGACGTTAAAGTTTACTACATTTTTGTTGGCGATGAAAAGTGTTTAATTAAGCTTAGAGATATAATAACGTCTTCAAGAAATCTGCTTTGTGGTTATTATATAATATACAAAAAAGTTTTCAGGACTCCAAACGACTAAAAACAAGTATTCCCTCTATCTACATTATAAGATATTTTTAGACAAAATCTCATATACTAATAAACCTCATTAAATACACTTAACAACCTTATCTTTTTAAAATAAAAATATAAACTTTTAAAAATACCCATCATCTAATATATTGAAAAGAGAAGGGACAAGAATTAATTATAAAGAAAAAACGGATAATATTAAAATTGATACATTTAATGAAACCTTAATTTATCCAAAACGTCTTATATTTTCGGATAAAGAAAATTCTTCAAAAGTGTTTTATAATTTGGGATAAAGGGAGTAGTTCAGAGGGTAATATTTATAAATTGGAGTGTCATAATTGAAGAGTAAAGTGGAATAATATTTAGTTTCATATCAATATATATATATATATATATAAATATTTTAATAAATGGGCAAGTAGTTCAGAGGAAAGAGATCGGATGAGATTGATAGATAGACGGGGGCAGAGATGGCAGTGGAACCATTTTAAAGAGAAGCTATAGGTTACCTTCTTTATGGGGAAAAAGAACAAATGAAGCCGGCATGGAGGTGGTTGATTTTACGGGAAAAACCGTTATTGCTGCAAAGCCAAAAGTGGAGAATGTTCTGAACGAAATCTCACTATACAATTCCCACCCAGTCACGGCACTCGTATGTATAAATTTTGGACTGTGTCTTACTATGTGTTGGCTGCTAGTTTCTGTTCACGAACTCTACATACTTGTCCCAACATTCTTGGGGGCCAAATACCCTCCGACCCTCCCGGTCCTTTTTCCCCTTTAATCTTCTACCTTCCAAAATTATATCAAATTTATTTGCTGATCAGGTTTTCTTATCAAACATGAGTTGACGCATGTGTTCGCCACAAGTATATTTAAAGTATAACTCCCAAAATTATACGAGCACTTTTTATACAGTATACGGTAAGGATATATACCTTGTTTAAAATAATAGAAAATTCAACTGATCTCAAGAATTTGAACTGTCTCTCAGTTAAATGCATCTTGAGATTGTGACAAAGAAACTAAAAAAAGGGAGTTTTTAATTACGCAAACGCTAAATTGCAACAGCAACTTAGACTTAAGTGGATAGCAAATTCGAGTAGGATGCCACGATAATATTCAGAAGGCGGTAACAAATTCCCAATATCCCAGGAAAAAAAAAAAAATAAAGCTCCTATCTGCTAAGACATTGCTAGAATCTCAATTAGCATGGTAAGTAACTTATTATCCAAAATTAGGAAGATGGACATTGCTCCTACTAGAAAGGACAAAAAAAATCAGTGTGTTTGTCGATAGATGGATGAAAGAAATAAATGAGGGAGGGTGGGAGGAGGACAAAGTTGCAGAGAGTAGCAATGGTGACTAGTAAGAAGGCGAAACTGATCGGCAACTTGTTCTCGTTTCTTTAAAGTTTCACATTCGTATAATTAATGGTTGTTGTTATGAAGTTAGGCTATCAATGAGCAAGCACGGCATCTCCGTGTCTACAATGATATGCACAAGATGACAATGTGGTTCTCTTCTCTCTCTCTCTCTCTCTCTGAACGAGGAAGGAGGGCTCACCATGGCAGGGTTGGCCACTCCTGGTAAGTAACAAATGGGGGAGCAGTAATTGCCTGTTTCAGCATGGGAGTGCGTTTCATTTAATTCATATTCAATCCATAATTTTTTGGTTTTTTCACATTTATTTCCCTCCAAATGCGTCCATTTCTTTGGCATCATACATCAATTTTCACATTTACCACTCTGAACGACCACCCCACCTTTTCTTCTCTCCCAAATCAAACTGGGGTTTCAATTTAAGCCAATATATCATTATTATTTATCAAGAGGCAGAATATTGCATGCTGCCACCGTATTTACTAGGTCTTGAATAGTGTGACATGCATAATAATCATAGCATCTTACTTTTCTTACACCGTGTAATGCAACCATGCATGCCGCAGCGTGTACTCTGGTAGTTTCAAAGATTCAAGCTGTTTCAGATTCTCACACACGCATAACAGTTAACAAGCAGTATGGGGAACAGTACCTTAATCATGACTTCCACTGTACAACCCAAAAGCTGATGCTTAAATTAGTTTTTGGCTACGGCGGTTTGTCGTTTGTGTCCTAAATACCGTTCACTTTTAAATCTTCCTTTCCCAGACTTGCAGAGGTTGCCCTGCTTTGTTCTTCTGTGCCAACATGATGGGATAATTAGGTTTCCTGGATCTGCAATAGTACAATGTGAAAACCATATCTATTTCATTTCATTCTCGGTTCTCGCAGACAAGTGATGATTGAAGGTAGTTGACAGGATATGTAGCGAGTAGTGATGTCCATGGGAAACACAGCTAGCTAGCCAGAATACAGAACTTACTGTTATGACATACATGTGACTCTTGCTAAGCGGACAAATAATGGTATAGGTACAGGCAAACATTCTGCGATATGTAAAGTTGGTAAGCCCATGTCTACATATTGAAGACAATTTATGATTGAAGTTATAGGTTAAATCTAGGTTTGGTATATCTATTGGTTTCTATTTTAAGACGATTCCAGGTAAGGTTTTCAGTAGAACAACACCCTAGATCGGTCTCCGAGATTGAAAATGGACACTGACAGCAGTATCTGGTAGCTAATCCACGCTCAAGGATTTAAATTTTGATAGCTTTGCATGTCTAGATAACGTAGCTAGGTAGCATATTTTTTAGGCATAACTTGTTAAATTTGAGCATATAAGCATAAATTGTCCGGATCATTTACAAAGCTGTGTGAGACAAAATTTAAAAACATGAAATTAAGAAAGAAATGAATAGGGCGGGTCCCGCTCAGAGAAAACTTCATTCATTTCTCAATCTGAAAGCACATTGAATGCCCACCCACGAAATGTATGAGCAAGACATTACTACTCTTTTCACCTAAACCTGTCATCTTCTTTCCCTTTCTCTCTCACCTCCTATTTGTCCGTCGCCCCTTGCGCCGGTGAAGCGATCCTTGAGGCTTGTTGGTAATTGTGTCCCACATGCTTGATTCTCTGTTAGATTTCCATACCCCATCTCTGATGTCACGTCTCCATCCCCTGTCCTACGTGCCTATATTCGGTGCACCCGTCCATACCATTTGATTAAATTCCCTTCATGCGCTTGTCGGGATATTACAAACTTAAGACTGCTCTTTTTCATCCCTCTAAACTTGAGCGCAAAGAATTATCTTATAACTTTCCCAGTAAATAAATGTTTTCATCTTTAAAAAGTACATGATTTGTTTGAATTTTTCAGTATACAAGATTTAATATATGCCAGTTCTATGGCATTTCAGATTTGCAGGGATGGAGGTACCAAAATCAGTTGAGAATGGAGCATTTATTGGTTGATATTGTCTCTGAAGCCTTTTATCGAACAGAAAGAGTGCGTGGCATTTCTGACGTGTCGACGGTAACCCATTTGACGGGAGTTTTTGGAAGAGTTTGGTGAGTTATGTAATGGCTGATGGGGACAAGGATGGGTTTGACGTCTCTCTTTCAAGAAAAGGTGTGGGAGCATGCTTTTACATCAAAAGGAACGGAACAGGCATCAACGCATAAATTTAAACGAGGGAGTGCGAGAGGGCGTAAAGGATGTACCTTGGCGCACCATAGTAGTTTTGATTTGAATGCCATCGTTGGGGCTTCCTACGAATACCAACAAAATATAAAGATCGAACGATGCATGTCGGAGTCTTGGGTGATAGCGACAAGTGAGAGATATGAATTCATGCTTCCCGTTTTGCGAAATGAGACTTTAGGATTAGCCCCACGCTTAGCCGCGGGAATGTTTGTAATTCTGATCTTTCCATCCGATGACCTTGTCTGTTTTCTTTCTTTATTTCCCTCTTTTTTTTTTTTTTTTAACCCTCAAACATTGTCTCTCTTCAAATCATTGGCATTGACAAGTTGTTTTGTGTGATTTTCCTCATATTACTTTGTTTCATTCATTCTCATAATGTCAGCATATAGTGGGATGATTACACCATAACATTTCTTTTCTTTTTTCTTTTTTCTTTTTGATAAATAGGAGAGACAAAAGAAAACTGAAAGGGAAAGAACAGGGGACGAAACCCAAAAATTCAAGAAAGAGTCAATTTTAAAAGCATACCATTCGTATCTCTTGAAATTTTCGAAGTTAGAAGCACTCAGATTTCACCAACAATCTCCGCATACAAGTGATCAAACCGTAACATATTAATCATATAAAAAAAACATTTTAATCATGCCGTGTCACAGTAAAAGGAGTATTTTTTTTTCATTTTAATTGTATTTTTAAAAACATGTATCATGTAAATATGCTTTTGAAAACTATGCATTATTCATTTTTATTGTGCAAATGGAGAGAGAATAAATTACACGTCAAATTTAAATTTTATTTTTATTGTCCAATTGACAAGATGTAATTTATCCAGACTCCAACAGCAAATGATATTTATTGATGAATAGAATCAAACACTTCTCCACCAATTCGATTTTTATTGTAACAACGCATCAATAAGTTTATATAGATTAATGAATTTAATTACAATTAGCTAATAATTTTAAAAATTCAAAATTATCCTCAATAAAATTCATTATTTAGAACATAATGTGTGACCAGGAAGCTATTTAATTAGCTATATCAAAGGCAAGGACATTTAAAGAAAATTTCTTGAACAAAATGTTCAATAATAAGGACTTTTGGAGGAAGGGGAGCACATTACTCTTATAAGTAATAAAAGACATTAAAATTTTAAGAGTTAAAAGAAAAAAAGTCTAAGAACTTTTTTTTTTCTGACATTTAACATCCTAAACTTTTATTTAAAGTAATTTTATTTAAAAATAAAAAAAGTTACCTTTTGAACTTGCTGTTAAATATAAAAATGTTGACCCTTAAAAACTGGGTTTGACCAGAGTTGTTTTTGGCCTTCCATGTTTCTGCGTTTTTTTTTTTTTTGTCTTCACTTGCCTTTTCTTCTCTCTTCCTTCTCCCCCTTCTTCTGCGTTCACACCCATGATCAAAAATTCAAAATTTAGAACGCAGAACGCAATAGCCTTAATCTGAATTAAATGAAGAGTCAATCAAACACAAATAGAATGTCCATTTAACAAATCTTTGAACCTCGAATTTTAAAACCAATTTGTATTTTAAAATGCATTAGTTTTGCAAATCTGAAACCTCTCCTTCATCATCTTTATCTCTAAAAATCACAATTAGGATCAAATTATCAGTAAAGGCACTTTATCTGGTCCTTTTTATTTATATGCAAACGCATTTTATCGCCACGATTGATGGAACGAGAAACGGCAAGTTCTGAAGCTGGATTTTTCTGGACTAGTTTTTTCACTGAAGGCGGAATGAAGACAATGATGACTCTTCCAAACTACTCCGCTATGCTCTCAGGCTCTCGAATTGCAACTAATTAAACACCATTTTATCTCTCAAACTAATATTCACATGTCCAAGCTTACATTTATCGCTCAAAACCAAAATCCCCCAGAGCAAGAGTCTGATACTACTGAAATGCCATCCATACTTCGAAAATCGCAAAAACAAATAAAATGCAAACCTAAATATTAAATACCTTTTAACAGTAAGGATAAATATGATTGCGTCAAAATGCGAATCTAAATATGAGACTTCACAGATATAGACTGTGGAATTAAGAATTAAAAGCCTTTTCATTTGGTTTTATATATGCCATTAATTTATTCTATTTCAGAGATCCATCGAGAGAGAAAGAAAAATGCCATCATCAAGCTCTTACTCATCTCCTTGCACGGCCTGCAAATTCCTGAGAAGAAATTGCATGCCAGGTTGCATCTTCACCCTACTTCCCTCCTGAGAAACTTAAAAAATTCACACACGTGTACAAAATCTTCGATGCCAGCAACGTGACTAAGTTGCTCAACAAAGAGAAGACGTCATCAACTTGCTCGCCTATGAAGCAGAGGCGCGTGAGGGACCCAGTGTACGGATGCATTGAAGTTGAAGCCATCCCTTTCCTTCAGAGACAGGTCCAAAGGCTACGAGAGGAGCTTGAAGCTGCTAATACCTATCTTCGCTATGCTACAACTACCATGCCTGAAGCAAACTCACAAGGGAGAAAGCAAGATTGCGGAGGTCAAAAATGTAGAAGAAGAATGCCGAGATAAGAATAGGGAGTCGAACTGAAAACTAAAAAGGAATGAGAGTCAAAATAGTAACACACCTTTGGTCAAACTTCAATTTAAAAGTCAACATTTCCTAAGTTTAATGATAGGACTTTATTATACCCTTTTTAAAAGTTTTAGGATAAAACTGTTCCACTAAAAAAGTTTAAAATACTAGATGTTCTTGAAGAAAAAGTTTTAAGACATTTAACCCAAATTTAAATATGATAATCTTAATGCCTCTTAAATTTCCCAAGAATGGCATATGGGAATATTTTCCTGCTCATTGCGCGGGAAACTAGCGAGGCTCCTGTCCTAACTCCCGACCAAAACTGTCACGGCGTAATTAAGTCTACGAAATGAAATGATTGCTAACTGAAACGAAATCCAGTATACCAAACAGCTTCGCTGCAAATTAGCTTTCACCTCCGAGACAAGCTAAAACTGAGGAAATAATGTGCAGAGAGCCTGTAATGACAATAATACCCCTCTCAACCCCCTTGTTCCTCTTTAAAATCCTGCCTGTGGTTCTCAAACAACTCATTAAACAACCCTCAGTAGCCAATACAGTTCTATGATCATGCAAATCCCTGACATGAGGGATTATTTCATCCTTTACCAATTCTCCGTATCCTGCTATTCCTTCGTGAACAATTTCAATGCCAAGTTCTTCAGAAGCTTGAATCCAAGAATCTTTCAAAGACGCAGCCGACATCATCCGAGTTACACCTCCGGCAATAGCAGCTTCAGCCAATACAACAGTCACTACATGCTCCCCTGAACAAATGCATAAGAGAGATTTTGTTGCACGGAATCGATTCAAACATTAAGCAGTAAGTTCCCCCCCCCCCCAAGTGTAGAGTACTACTTTGATCAAGGAACTAAACCAAACCAGCCACCAAACATAATATAAAAAGAAACAGAATTGATAGATTTACCTGAGAGAATCTCTTTGGCAAAACCTACGTGGTCTTTGTCACTTGCCATAGCAACAACAAAACCTAATCGAGCCTCTGGATATGCCATCCTTATAGTGTTCATCAGTGCTTTAGCAGATTCTTTGGTATGGGCTACAGCAATATCCGGGGAAAAAAAACATAAAATTCAGTCCTAATGAATGACAGGAGCCAGAACCTATGTACAGTGGACGGAATAAACAAGAGTAAAGTAAATGCCAGGCAACAGGAAGCAGTTGGCAGCAGTAATTAGAGAAGCAGTTATTTTAGCTGAGCTTCCCTTTTGTGTTGTAATGTGTTAACAAATGTTCTCTTTGTTGTCAATTATCTGTGGGTTCGTTTCTGGTGTATTATGTGTTGACAAGTTACTATGCAGGATCTGCTGTCAATTTCCTAGGAGTCAGACATGTTCAGTTAATGTGAGTCCTTTTAATATATGTGTATAATTGTGTCAGGTGGCAATGTGTGAAGTATCATTCAGTCTAATATTTTGGTGATTCTCCACTTTAATTTTATTGGACTATGAGATTCAGATACAGGTTCATAATCTGATAAGAGAAATTCCTCCTTTTTCATTCATCAAAAACTATCAGACGACTACATAAAATACTAAGGCTACATTCTATTCTAGATTTTTTGCACTTGGAAAATTTTGTAGATTTTTTTTTTTTTTGCCACAAGAAAATTTTGTAGGATTCAACAAAACAGTCTTCACTAAATTCGAATCAACACTTGATTTCAAGCTAACTTATTAAGAGTGAAGACCACAGTTGAACCAAAGATGCTTGCGTTGCATAGAAAGAACTCAATATCCCATAAACAAAGTCGTGAATTTGAATCATGCGAGACCTTGTTAGGAGTTTCCCCTCACTTAGATTTCAACAATTCTTGAATCTGGGTTAGTCAATAGTATCGAAAAAAGAAGATAGGCTGATAGCAAAGTCAAAGGAATCAACCTCCATCAAGCAATATCGTTGCTCCAGCAAGTCCTAGCATCTTAGCTTCTTCATTTGTTAGGAATTGACTCCTTCCAAGGAGGCATGTATGCTCTAAGCCAGCCCTAATAGATTCATCAGAAATTCTCCATCCTGATCATCCGAACAAGATAAAATGGAAGTATAGATACATTTCAATAGCAGCTAACCTAAAACAGTTAAAGGTACCGTTTTAATGTGCCAAGACGACAATAATGAGAACATATGGATCATGAAGAGCTACATGAAAGACTTAATTTACCAGGAAAAGAAAATAAAAGACAGACTTGTATAAAAGTAGTTAAAGAACTAGAAGCAACGTCTTGACAACTCTGGGTTCTATGGCATAAAAAGGTATCTGAGCAACGGTTTGACAGGATGAAAGGCTTTTATCTCCCTACACTTCACAGAAACCCTGACTGCCTGAGTAGATGAAGATCCACACATCTATACGACTATGCCCCAAGTAACGTTTAAACTAGAATAAAAATATACAATTTAAATAACTAAGAAAGTAATAGAAAAGGCAGAATTTTATGAGCATAACATAGAAAATTATTACCAAAATTACGAAGACATAGTGCTACACAAGTAGCAGTTGCTGCATTCTGTAGTTGGTGACTTCCAAGCATGCGCAGTTTTACACCAAGTAATTCACAGGACTGCACGAATAGATAAAAAATCATTCACAATCTTTCAGCTGATCAACAATAGCAACTAGACGTTGGGAACTACTTTAAGAACCAGGCAGAGGTGGAACAGAAATGGGGTGCACAGTCATTTTTAACATTCAGAATGCAGATGAGATAACATGAAATGCAAAGCAGCATTTCACACAAATGGGGCCATAAAAATTAGGACTTAGTGCAGAGCAAGCAATGAATTGATTATTCAAAATTAAGATCTTATTTACTTGAGTCATTCTTTCTAAACTCTCTTATCATTCTCAAATGCTATGTATCCTTTTTGAGTTTTTGACAACTATTCACAGCAAAAGCTGCTTGCTAAACCATTTTCTATGAATGTCGTTACAGACTACAAATGAGTATCTTTAAAGAGTATTAATTAAAAATAATTTTTAAAAGCACAAACATGCAAGTAGGATGCACAGTATGGATGAAGAATGAAATCTCAAGAAGACAAGTTCATACCAGCTCCAAGTCTTTCTCAACTTCTATTGCTATATCACATGATTGGCAAGGTCTGCCATCAAGCATGCCAACAGTTCTTATAGAACATCTATTCCCAGCATCAGATGCTGACACTACTGGTGAATCCAGGGATGCTGCTCTGTCGCGAATAATGTGTTCAATATGAGGGAGAAATGGCCCACCCAGAACCAGCTGAAATATATTTATTTCGTCAACAAATTGATGGAAAACCAACAGAGTCCAGTATATAAATGGTATTTCTTTATATACATACATACATACATACATATATATATATGAAATCTAGTACTACTTGGTCATATTTGAGTATTATCTCAAAATCCAAAGTATATTATTGCGTTATTTTCTTCTCTCTTTTTTTCTTATTTTAATTAATGAAGGTTCAAAATATGTGTTTCCAGTGAAAAAAAAAAAGAAGATAAAGCAATAGAAGATACGCCAAATTAAACCCAAAAGACAAGACAAATGGCCGTCTTGCCTCATAGCTGCCTTAGAATTACAATTGGATCACCTAGCTAGCTGAACCCCAAAATAACTGAATTAGAAATTGTCATTTTAACTTCCAACCCTCAGCAGTTGGCCTGTTTTAAGCCATGCGATGCTAGCATATATAAGAAAAACATATGACAATTCTTGAATATTTGCTTGCTCTCCGCTAATTTATATACATATGCCTATCAAGCTTTAAGATAAACAAGATATTTGATGAGCAGATAAAAGCCAGGAACAACAATCCTCTTGAATGCTTAACCAGTAAGGTAAGAGAGTCCTCTTAGGCTCTGTTTGGTTGGAGGGGAGGGGAGGGGAGGGGTTCCATTTCTCTCATTTGGTTTAAAATTTTTGGAGGGGAGGGGAGCCAAAATTTTGGCTCCCCCTCCCCTCCCCTCCCCTTATTTTGGCTCCCTCCAAATTGGGGTTTTTTGGAGGGAGAGGTAAATTTGTTGACTAATTTACCCTCATTATTTTTATAAAATTACGTTATTGCCCTTGAAACACAATAAATACGTTTGGCTTTCTTTTTCTTCCAGGAGCTCGGTCTGTCTCCAGCGTCTTCTCAGTCTGTCGGAGCTCTCGGTCTGTCGGAGTTCTCACCGTGCGTCTGGTCTGCCGTGCTCGAAGCCCCGCCGTGCGTTATCCCATCAGGTCCTCCTCTTCGAAGCTCTCACCGTGCATTCTCAGGTCAGATGCGTTTTCTTTTCGTTCGGACCCTGTTTTGAGATCTGTGGTTGTTCTGCTTGTTTCTGGTTTTCTTTTCGTTCGAAGCTCTCACCTCGTTTTCGTTAGATGCGTGGCTTTGTTCTGGTTGTTCTGTTCTGAGCTCTCGGTCTGTCTTCTTTGTTCTTTGTTCTGCTTTGTTCCTGTCAGATCACCCTGTTCTTTGTTCTGGGATGTGGCTTTGTTCTTTGATGCCACATCCCTCTTAGCTGCAGCACTAACTAAATCACGTGCACTGTTAGAAACATCAGGAGGTGGGGTTCTTGTTGATGCTGTTAAAATCTGTAAATCTATTGTGAGGACAGTATCCCAGTAAGGATTTAATTTTAATTAGCCAAGATCAGCTCCTTTCGCTATATCCAACTGACTGGTTGGTTTCTTTTGGTATTGAATCACCCACAAGTACTGGGGCCCTAGGTGATCTGTGGTGTGAACGTACATAGCCGATCCATGATGATAACTGAATCGTCGCCTTACCAGATTGGAACACATTAATGCCATGCAATGGTATAGACAGAGAGAGAAAGAGAGTACAAGTGTTCATTACAATATTATAGGAATACCCAGCTGCTGAGTGTCTTGAAAACATTTGGGTTCGGTTTCACAGAGCCATCATCAATACTTCATTTTCTATGTTGTGACTTTATCTAAGGTTTCTCTTTTCACGAAAAAGGTTTCTATGTTTTTGTCTTATCAGAGATTGGGATCACTTCTACTATATATCATTTTATTAGTTGTATATGCACATATATATAGTTTCCTTGTTCTCCATCACAGCATATTCAAACGTTAAAGAGTGGTTTAATTTATAGAATGGTTATTGCAATAATGAAATATGAATATTAAGGCTTGTTTATTGATTTTCATTATTGTTCTTGATTGCTTTGTTAGATGAGCAAGGAATCTGAAAATCTTTTATTGGTGCAACATTGGTTTGAATTGCGTCGAAGAGCACTAGCTCTTCTTGCTTGTGTCTTTGTAAAAGTATGTGCAAGTGACGTGTTCGAAAAAAATAAGTTACAGTTTGAGTGGCAAGAGAGAAATGGTACGTGATGAAATAATGAGCCGAATTAGCGATTGTCCCTCCAGTCGAAATATCATTAGAATGACTCCTAGAACTTTTTAGACTTATGTGCTATGTTAGAAAGAGAGGCTGGCCTGCAACCCACGCGATGGTCAAGTGTGGAAGAAATGGTTGCAAAAACTCTATATACATTGACACACAATACAAAAAATCGTGAAGTGAATTTTTGGTTTAGGCGTTCTGGTGAGACAATTAGTCGCCATTTTCATCAAGTTTTGACAGCTATCGTTGACTTAGAAGAAAATTTTTGGTTCAACCTAATGGCTCAACCATTCTTCCTGAAATTGAAAAAGATAAGAAATTCTTCCCATATTTTAAGGATTGTGTCGGTGCTATTGATGGAACACATATACGAGTCAAGGTGCCTTCTTTAGATGCTCCTAGATACCGTGGTAGGAAGGAATTTCCGACACAGAACGTGCTAGCAACATGTACCTTTGATCTAAAGTTCACTTATGTGCTCCCTGGATGGGAAGGTACTGCATCTGACTCAAGAATCATTAAGAATGCATTAACACGAGAAGATAAGCTTATAATTCCTGAAGGTAAATATTTTACCAATTTTGATAAAGTTTATATTGGTGAATGTAAAATTATTATAGTAATTATTTTCCTTTATGATAGGTAAATATTACCTTATCGATGCTGGATTCATGTTAACAAGAGGACTTATAACACCTTATCGAGGAGTTCGTTATCATTTGAAAGAATATTCAAAACAGAATCCCCCCCTAAATTATAGAGAGTTATTTAACCTTCGACATGCAAGGTTACGCAATGCCATTGAACGTGCTTTTGGTGTTTTGAAAAAAAGATTTTCCATTCTATCCAATGCAACTGAACCTACATATGGAATCAAAGCACAAAAAATGATAATATATGTATGTTGCATTCTTCATAACTTCCTTATGAGTATGGACCCTATTGAAGATCTTTTAGAGGAAGTTGATGCTGTTCTTACAAGAGAAAACCATTCAAATGATAATAACCGTGCTCAAAGAGGGGACAATAATGAGGCTGCTCGAGGTGAACTTATAGAGAAAATATAGCCACTCAGATGTGGGCAGATTATCAGGACATCTGACTGCTCTTGAGGATGAACTTGATGATTGAATTTTGATTTTCTCAATAAGTTAGACTCTATTGTATCATTATAGACATTTAAATATGTTGTATTACATTGACTTATATTGAGTTTAATTGAGGTTTGATCAGATATTAAAATTTATTGTTTTATTGACTTTTATTTGCTTTGTATTATTTGGTTAGTTTGCTATTGAAATTTGATTAGTTTTTTCATATTGGGATTGGTATTATGTGATTATATTGTTTATATGATAGGATGGCACCAAACAATAATAAGGAGATTGTGAATTGGACAAGATTAATGGATGATGCCCTCGTTGATGCTTTCATGAATGAATATAATGAGGGTCACAAAGTTAATGGCACTTTTACAACTACAGCTTATGATAACATATGTAAATATTTGAGTGCTTTATTCGGTAAACAAATTGACAAGGAAAAGGTGAAAAATCGATGGAAGACTTTAAAGAAAAACTTTTCAGATGTTTATGACATTTTCAAAAGTTTGAGTGGGTTCGCTTGGAATCCAATAACTCAAGTATGGGATACTGAGCCTGAAGTTTGGGATGCATTAATTGAGGTAAATTTCTTACATATGCATTGATTATATTATTATTGAAAATGAAAAAGTATGCATTTGCAATTGAATTGCTTTTGTAATTTCACTTGTTTCAGGCTAAACCTAAAGCAGCATTGTGGAGAACTACTCCTTTTCCAAACTACGAAAAAATGATGATATTATATGGAGTAGATAAGCTAATGGAGATGAGAGTGAGACAGCCCGTGAGTGGAGAAAGAGACATCGTTCTCAGGAAGAAGTCACTGAAACCGTCAATGACATTAACAATATTGTCTCACAAAATAGAGCCACAATTAATGTTGAGCTTGATGGACAAGAAAACTCACCGAGACAAGAAAACTCACCTGATCAAGAGCACTCACCCACTATTAATAGTGCATGTAGTAAGAAGACAAAAGGGTGTCTAAGGAGAAGGAGGCTAGTATAAATGAGTTGACAAAAGCAGTGTTAGCTGTGGCTGAGGCAATTCAACAAGGAAAGGTGATGATGGACAAAGTGTTCAAGAAGGTGCCACAATTGTCAGGTGAAGAAATTTGGAAAATGCTTGAAGAGTGTGGGATTGATGCTGCAAGATTACCTGATATATATTGGTTTCTTATGGCTGATAATGATAGGCTTAGAGCACAACTCAATGTCCAGCACCAGTACGAAAGGACGTGATAATGAGGATGTTTTATAGTTCTAATTAGATGATGACTTTTAGTAATAATTTTTGTATATTTTGTTAGCTAAATGTCAAAATGTGATTCTTAAACATGATCATATATTAGATGTTATTGCCCATAATATTTTGTTATTAATGATGGCAATTATTGTTCAATTGTTATTAAGACTAGCATTGTCTTGTGCAAAAATTGGGGGCATAAAATCATTAGTTTCATTGATTTTTTTCACAAAGTATTGTTTAATATTTAGATTAATTTACTAATAAGATTTATTTAATAGTATTATTAATTTACTTATTTGGGGTGAAGAAGAAAAAAAAAATTGACAGGTTAGGGTAATTTAAAAATAAATTATACAATTTTAGTTTATATGTAAAATAAATTTGTGTGATAAAAAGATAAAAAAAATATTATTGTACAAGGGTATAATGGTAATTTAATTATTACCTTCCCTCCCCTCCCCTCCTAAACCAAACAAAGGATCATTAAAATTCCTCCCCTCCCCCCCCCTCTAATCAAACCAAATAAAGTAGCT